ACTCCATGGAATATTTCAGGACCATTAGTTCAAAATTACTTCTGGAGAACCTGGATCAGATCCCGTATGCAGGAATGTATTCACAATTTCCTGAATGATTGGCATTGTAATATTCACATGGGTTTGCTATGGTAATTTAATTTATTGCATTTTATAAAATATTTCTAGATAGACCTGGAATTAGGGCGTAACAGCTTTTGTAAACAATGATTTCTCTAGATGATTTCTAGGAATTCAAAGCACGCCCACGCAAACGAACATAACCATCAGAAAGGGGAAGCCTTCCTCTATCCTATGGTGATGTTAATTTGCGTCGGTGAGCCTTGACTTTCTAAAAATCATCGAGATAAGTCGTTGTTTACAAAAGCTGTTACGCCCTAATTCCAGCTCTATCTAGATTTTAGCCTCGTTTATTGCGCTGGAATTATTTCCGGAGAACCTGAATCAGATCTCGGATGGTCATACTCTTTGGAATATATATGACTTCCGGAGCACCAAGATCAGATCCTGGATGGTGGCTACTGTCCTCAGATTATTTGCATTAGCGACGATCCATTTATTATGTCTCGCTGAATTGAGAGAAAACTAACCCCCTCCCCCCTTTCGTCATGTTTTCCTATACATATACCATTATAATGCATTGCTTGTCACAAAATCATAACTCCTCCCCCCTCCCCCCCCCCTTGAAGTGTGACTAATATATTATAATATTCACCTCGGTTGAACATGTATGATTTTACATACCGCGCGATGTAGTAGTTTCAAATATATCATTTCTAGTCATAATCCAGAATATACGGAACCAGATACTGTAAGCCTTGAAACAGAGGCCAATGTCTCAATATGACAATTAAATTATCTGAAATTGTGCATATTACATTGGCATCGGTTCCGGGATTCCGGAATTTCAATTCATAGATTCCGCAATACGAAACGGTAAGGGGGATCCGGTTCTTTAGGCCAAAGTCATATTTGAGGCAAATGAATTATACTGCATATAAAAAATCTGAACGATTCGATTTTTTATATGCAGTATAATTCATTTGCCTCAAATATGACTTTGGCCTAAAGAACCGGATCCCCCTTACCGTTTCGTATTGCGGAATCTATGAATTGAAATTCCGGAATCCCGGAACCGATGCCAATGTGACCATATGCCAAAGGAATTACCACAAATAATCTTTATTGACCTTATCTTATCATGCTAACATGATTTGTTATGCAACATGATTATTATACCGCGAATGTTACTGTGGGGTATAAAACCGGATTCCACGGATTTCCCAGAACCGATGCCAATGTATCCATATGTCATCAGATACACTACAACCTGATTTCAGTGATCATAGCTTGTCATTTTGGCATAATATGATATCATAACCTCAATGAAATTATATTCCAACAAACCGTTCGCCGGAATTCACAGATCTGCGTTCCGGAACCGATGCCAAACTGGCCAAAATCATCTCAAATCATCTTCATTCACTTGATTCTACCTATTTGACATGATTTGACATGCCACAAGATACTTTTGCCTGAGATATTACTATGTCCTACAGAATGGATTTCCGGGACTCCGGGTACCGATAATATCGTAGCCATACGTTATGGAAATATCTAAATTCAGTCTTACTAATCATATTTCATCTATCTGATATCATTTTCTGCACGAGACAACCGATTCGCGTGAAAATTTAAAACATTTGGTCAAACAGGTTAAAAAAAGTACAAAAAACACAGACATATTTGCATCTACCAAGAACGATGAGGGTTCTAAGGAGGCGGTACCTACGACAAAAGTTAGTTCAACTATTCCTCTTGAATAAAAACCAAAGTTTATGCAAATCGGATGAGGCATTGCTGAGAGCGAGTTTGTTGAAAAAAAAATCGTTCGTCCTGGTACTTTACGGGTTAAATCCATATTGAAATATACCATTAACCAAAGTTTTTGTCAAAATCTCTGGTGACATGATAAAATACAAAACAAAAAAGTACATTTTCTCACTGAACACGGAACAATGTCAAACAAGCAAACAAGCACAAAGTAAAACAGGCAATATTGCTACGCCTATTTTGAGTTGATTTCAATAGTTCAAATTTTCATGACGTGAAGAAAAGCTATAGAATTAATGCCGTGTGTGCTATCTATGCCTCCCTCCCAGGATTGAACCCACGGTATTTTGCTCAGTAAGCAAAAACGATTGCCACAGGGCAAATAAGCTCCTTTTTAATCATCGAGTTGCTGTTATTAGCCTGTAGTCATATTAACAAATAAAACGATTGACGAATCTTGAATGTGAATGGGCCTGAGATTAGATGTTCTGATCAGAAAGCAAAAACGGTCACTGGCCTTAGCCCCTCATATCACATCATACTATTACTCGAGTTGTTGTAACCATTCAAACCCGGCACTGACGACGACGACAAATTTCGTAAAATACACGATAAACAATCGAGTTGATCAATCCCAGTCGGCGCCGCCGGGATGTTCTGAGGCATAACATCTCTGATCACGCCTTCCTTCAGAAGGAAAGTAAAGCTGTTGGTCTCCGGTTCATGAGTTGATGGGTCGATAGGTAGGGTCCAGGCGTTGGAGCTGCCTCCCTGGCGTCGGTAGCATTAGTGCTCAGCACGGTAAACAAGATCGACGGAAAACAAATCAAGGACAAAAAAAACAGATGAGCATGAGTCAAAATGTTCTAAATATCAATGGAAAATTCATATTACCTCCTGTCGAAAATGTGTATAAGCATAAGCATGAGTAACCGCCCGCAGATGCTACTCGGTTATTGCCAGATCAGCTGCAATTACACAGAGAACCAACAGATGATCTTGGTTCTAGAAATTGTCCTCAATGTGTAAAATCCGGTGATATAAAATTAGGCAATACCAGCGCCGGGCGCGTCCGAATGCAGGTCAAGAATGCCCAACAAACATTGAAAGCTGAATAAGAGTTTGTTCATGCAAAATTTAGCTTCTTCAGCAAGTTTGTTTAGCTTAAATTAGTTCAAATTGTTTGTTGGGTGGATATGGTAGGAATGTGTTGACGTAATACTCGCTTGGATGCTGAGAAATCACTGGGATGTTGGATAAAAGGGTTGGGTTTGAAGCAAAGTTCGTTTTGACAAACGGCTCGTTTAATAAGTGATTGGTTCGAGTTATGAAAAAAAAAACAACTAAGGAAATTAATGATGTTCTGCTTAGTAAGCAAAAGCGGTTGCTCTCAGACCACCGAACCACCGGTACGGACAAAAACGACGACACTTTTCACAAAACACGGTAGGCAAGCATTGTCACTATAATACTCTTTAATATGATGGGTGGATTTGATCCCACGATTTTCTGCTCAGTAAGATAAAAGGACTATCTTAGGCATATCACAACACACCACTTATAATGGAGTTAATGCTATAACCGTTCAAACCCGACAGCGGTGCCATAACAAGCAGCGGGGACCGACGATCTTTCAAACCCGGAGATATAAAGCCACAAAAAAGCACTTAGGCCTAACTAAATTCTAATTTTACGCGATGCTTATTATTTCGGTTTGATCTTTACGTAAGAAGGGAACATAATTGATAAAGTTTTAATATATTTCGATGATTTTTGATAAATAATTTGAATATTTTTCAGGTCCGTGTTAAAAGTCTAATAGTGCGCACCTAGGAGGGAGAACCAGACTCAAAAATATGAACTTCAAAAGGAGCCAGAATCAAGCTGTCACTAACTGTGGTTGGGAGCCAAGCAGTTTGATGATTTTTTTTCCCTATAGTTGAACAGGAATACACAAGGCGCTTTTGAAATCATGCGTAAAGTAATTTATGACAAACTGTCGTTTCCAGCTTTCTTATTCAATGGGACACCGTTTTTTACCATTAATCGGAAGATACCATAAATCATGCTTTTTGTCAAAATATTTAGTCTCATAATAAAATACAAAACAGAAAAGTACATTTTCCACTACACACTGAACAATCTCAAACAATCACTAAACGATCAAAGCATAACAGGCTATTTTGATACGTCTATTTTGATTTAATTTCAATGGCTCATATTTTCATGACAAGAAGAAAAAGTTACAAAATTAATTTCGTGTGGCATATCTGCTTTTCCCTCCCAGGTGCGCACTTAAACACATCAAATCAAAATGTACACAGCATACTTTCATTTGACATAGAATTGAACTTTGAGGAACATGCTTTCCGGAATTCCAAATTATATTTCAAAATGAACAAAAACTAAACTCATCGAACAATAAATCACGCGCAATTGAGGTAATCTCACCGGGAACAAACAGAAATCATGCACAATGATGAAAAGTTGACAAGAATGGTTTTCAACTGGAACAAACTCACCAGGATCGATGTCAAATAGTGTGGACCTACACATTTTGAACGAAAAGTTCACCCCCTTTGCACTCACTTGATTAAAAAAAAATGGCTGAAAACGACCCAGAACCTGCCCAAAATAAATAATATACATTTTGAATCATCTGCATAAGGCAAACCAATGTCATGGAGAACGGATCTGTCAATGCGAAACCGTCACTTCTCCTACTCCCCCGCTGCTCCCATGCAACGACGAGCTTAACGTAACAAGAACAGCGGGAGAACGACACAATAACCACTGCCAAAAGGTCATGAATGATAATCATTCCGCATACATTTTCTTCCATCTCGTTTCATTTTTCTTTGCTGGCGCTTTCATCAACATCATTCTTTCCGATCAGCTAAGTGAGGGCATGATCGCATCATCACAAAAACTGATCAATAAATCAGCGTAGTCGAGGTCAAAGAAAGGGAAGCGACAGTATGTATCTTAGCAAATCATAAGAAAAAAATCTGTAAAAACTTATTCAATTCAATCAAATGATCGCGCACAGTACACAAAACTAACAAAATGTGACCACAGCTCCAATAAACACACCCGAAAAAGCTAATCTGCTCTACTACCAGGCACGACTAACCCCTTTTCCATATCACTCCACTTTTTCCCGGCAGGCACCCTCATCACCATCATTCGCTCCATCCAGCCAAGGCCAAGCCCAAACACTGCATGACCGAACGTGGCTACTCCATGATTCTTAAGCACGCACACACTACCGCGAAAAAACGTTTACTCATCACACTGCCACTACTCAACAACAAATCACAAACGATCAAGGCAACACCGGGAAAACAAAAAAGAATGAGAGAGCAGCAAACAAAGCACAATTGCAGCAGCAGTTCAAGAAAAAATCGTTTGAAATTATCTGATTTCAGTAGAACAAACTATCGCCATGGATTTGAAGCTAATACATTTATACCAAAGTTCCTCAAAACATAACAGAAAAACTAACTCGAGAACAAAATGCAGTGATAAGCTATTTTAATTTAATTATCTCGCACGAGCCCCGGAGCTAACACAAAGTACGACCGATCACTGTGGCTCTACAAACAGCACTCTATATTCCCTCCTGTTGAAAATATAGACAATGTTTTATTTTAATCGGAAAGGCTTCGCGTCAGATTTCAGCTTTTCCTGGAAGTTTTCCCGTGGGACTGCTCGAAGAGGTGGTGAAAATGGGTGGAAACCGAAAATGAAGCCCAAAAGACTAAACCCCAACTGAACTAGTGCCGACAATACCAGAAACATTGCACATATCTAGCGACATACAAAGCAATGCAGAAGCAAAAGAAATTGGAGAAAAAATAGTAAAGAACTTAAAAATTGTTTAGAAAAACAGTTCCTTGGCTCCGTTCTGTTCCAAGTGACACTGAGCATACCAAATAAATACTATGGAAAAAATATGTGCAAAAGATTCTTCACATAGAAGAGAGTCAATACCAACCGGTTTGCTATCTTTTGACATGCTCTATCTCGACTTTCAGTAAGAAAAGATATGATTTGAGATTATTTTTTTGGGGATTTATCTAGCAACAGTTATAGCCTACATGCGAGGCTTTATATGCTTTCAAACTTCTTTCCGGTTATTTCGATAATCGGATCGTTATGAAAGGTTCCGGTAGATTACTGTATTCCGGTAATAATGGTAATCGGGTCGGTAATGCAGTTCGAAAGCACCCGAATTGCATATATTTATTTCCATTTCGTCAAGCCAGTGTAGACTACATACAATGATTATTGCAATGTTTACTTACATACTATGCATTAATTCTATTCTGTTTTAGCTTAGTTTGTATTTGCTGCTTGGACATAGTGATGTCAATAGTTCCGCAATGCAAATTATATAGGCGCATCATTCGATTGATTGGGCTATTTTTTGCATAGTTTGTTCTGTACGATGTTTCTGAAAATAAATTCCGTGTTCTAAGATATCGACAAGGTGTGTAAAAATTTAATTGTGCGAGAATTTCTGCCGAATCTATGCGCATTGAAATAATGTCGTTGATGAAGAAAAGCATTGCAAATTGGCGGCGCTCCTTAAGTGTTTGTATATTGATGAGCATGCAGCGCGCTTCATAAGATGGTAATGGAAATGCAGTCCAATTCAATTTACGTAAAGCATATAAAAGGAATTGTTTTTGGACAGATTCTATGCGTTCTTCGTGTATGGAAATGTATGGATTCCATACTAGGTGGCAGTATTCCAGAATTGGCCTTACATATGTGGTATATAAAAGCTTAATAGTGTATGGGTCTTCGAAATTATGACTGAACCTTTTGATGAAGCCTAGCATTCTGTTTGCTTTACTAATGATAGTATTATAATGTTCTATAAAAGTTAGTTTGGAGTCTAGGATTACACCTAGATCTCTTACAATTTTGCTTTTTTCTACTATTTGGTTGCCTAATGATATTTCAATATGCGGTGTTTCTATTTTTCTGCTAAATGCTATTGCAGTACATTTTTTTACGTTCAGTTTAAGTAGACTTTTACTACACCAGGTGTGGAATATATTGATTTCATTCTGGAATTCTTCTGCATTGCTAGAATTACTTATTTCCATAAAGAGCTTCATGTCGTCTGCATATACAAGCAATTTTATTTTTTTAAGTATGTAGGAAATGTCGTTTATGTACAAAATAAAAAGAAGTGGGCCTAAATGAGAACCCTGGGGTACCCCAGAGGTGACTGAAATTGGTTCTGAAAGTTTATTTTGAAAGCGAACTATTTGTTTACGATGTGTTAGGTATGATTGAAGCCAATTCAAAAGTCCAGGCTCCATTCCTATTTTCTGCAATTTGAGGATTAATAATGGTATGTCGATGCGGTCAAATGCTTTACTGAAGTCGGTGTATAGCGCTTCAACGTGCTTGCCACTGTCCAACGCTTTAATAATGAAAGATACATATTCTAGAAGATTAGAGGTAGTTGAGCGACCTTTAAAAAAGCCGTGCTGTTTACTTGTAATTAGTTTTTCACCTGCTGAAAAATATTGCCGTTTACGATTGATTCAAAAAGTTTTGGAATGCAAGAAATAATAGCAATTCCACGATAATTTCGAATGTCTGATTTTGCACCTGATTTGAAAATAGGTACCAAATAAGATGATTTCCAAATTTCAGGGAATTTTCCATTTTTCAGAGACATGTTGAAAAGACGCTCTAGAGGAAATGCGAGTTCTTCAGAAAGGTTTTTCAAAAATATGGGTGCGATGCCGTCAGGTCCAGACCCTTTCGACGCGTTTAAGTTTTTTAGTGCATTGAGGACTTCATGTTGAGAAAGTTGGTTGACAGAGATGTTTTTAGAAATTTCAGGAATGAATGCAAAGAAATCGCGGTCACGATCTTCTTCGGAAAATGTGGTGTATACTTCTTGGAAGAAATTTGCAAAGAGACTGCAAATTTCAGAAGAATTCTCACCTACATTTGCATCCAAATTCATTCGCGAAGGAAAATTGCTGCTTTTTAATTTCGTGTTTACATAATTAAAAAAGTTCTTAGGACATGATTTGACTTCATTTTCGACTTTGCGGTTATAGTCCTCATATGCAGAGTTGGTGGCTGTATGTAATTGGTTGCATAAGTTGTGATAGTTTCGCAAATTGGTTTCAGTTTTTTCTTTTTTGTATAGTTTATGAGCTTTCTGTTTTTTATTCTTCAAATTTTTCAGTTGTGGATTGAACCATGCGGGTAGTTTATTGTTTTGTGTTCGTCTTCTTTTTTTTGATGGTACAGTTTCTAAGATTAGGTTTTGTAGAATTAAGTGAAATTTTTCTACTTCAGTATCGACATTTCCTTCAATACTTATTAAATTTTGCCAATTTATTGTACATAGTCTACGTTTGGCTTCTTCGTAATTTGCTTTACGGTATTCCGGCACTTCCTCGTATTCCCAGTCGCTGGAGGAAGAAGAATTTTGTACGAAGATTGAGTATTCAATTGCTGTGTGAAACACTTCATTTTTCCATAAAGGTGCTAATGATGTATCCACACAGAAGTCTTCAGTACAATTTGTAAATAAAAGGTCTAAATATGAGTTTTGTTGATTTTTTACATGGTTTATTTGATTAAGACCAAAATAAGATATTTTGTCGAATAATAATTGTAATGCTTCGTCTTCACCTACGACCGGGAGTAAAAATGATTCATTTTCAATGTCTGTAATAAAGTCTGCGTTTCGTTGATTGAAGTCGCCATAAATATGCAGTTTTACTTCTGGTTCCATATTTGACATTATAGTTTCAACAATTTGAAAAAATAGTTCAAAAGACTGCTTGTGGGCATGTTTAGGTGGAAAATACACAGAAGAAAAAATGTGTATTTCACCGGCAATAAGTGCTTTGACCCAGACATTTTCGAATTCCTTGTGCTTATTTGTTATGATTTCTTCAGAAGTAAAGTCAGCATTGATGGCAATGAGCACTCCACCACCAGACTTTTTATTACAGAGTTGAAAATTCCTGTCGTGCCGGAATACATTAAAATTGTTTCCAAAAATTTCTTCGCTTCTGACGCTTTCGTCCCAGCTTGTTTCAGTTCCAAGAATTATTTGAAAAGAAGAAGATAGAATGTTCTGGTGGATTTCTTTCATTTTAGCTGGGCTTTTCATGCGATTGAAATTTTGGCGATACACCAAAATTTCAGTCGCATTCTGTTGAGGAAGTGAAGAGATTTTTGGAGGGTCAGTATTACTTACATTAGTAGGGTCTACCTCATGTAGAGTGTCGTCATTCGATAATAATAATTCCCTTGCATGGGAATAGTCGTCGTTACTTCCTTTAGTAGAGTGCGTCAGTGCCGTTGAAAATTTGGAGGACTGTAAAATTTGCGAGCGGCCTCCCTAGTTTGCTGCAGTCGTTGTGTGCGTTCACTAAGTAGGAACGCGCGGTGTGAATTCAGGTCTGCCAAAGCGTCGGTGCGTGGAATTCCGAGTTCTTCGTGAACGTCCAGGAAAATTTCGCGTAAAAGGGCTGTTTCCGTTGGTAGTCCTTCTGCTGCCAGCATTAAAGTTGCACTAGTTTTAGTGATTCCGCGAATACATACTGAAGGTGGCTGGTCGTGCAAGTATGAAAGATAAGTCCGCACAATGTCCATAATTTTGGGGTCCCGCAGCCGTGCCTTCAAAAAGCGTCGGTCGCCAATTGCAGACTGTTCCGTGAGTCTGACTATAGGCGGACGCATTGGGTCCAGGATTGGAGGGTGTTCATGTCCGGTTGGTCTTTCGGCGCGATAAGGGTGAATAGTTTCCCCTTTTTCGAAGTTAATGAATTTTAGTCCATTGTCTGTGCATGGTGGACGAGAAAATTGTATACGTGCAGCAGCCAAAAGCTCTTTGTCCAGAGGTAATGCCGTATGTGCATGTGTGGAGTTAATAAGTGTCGACGTTCTTATTCCATTGCTATGATTGTTGGTATTGCTGTTGTTGTTGTTGTTGTTGTTGTTGTTGTTGTTGTTGTTGTTGTTTTTGTTGTTGTTGTTGTTGTTGTTGTTGTTGTTGTTGTTGTTGTTGTTGTTGTTGTTGTTGTTGTTGTTGTTGTTGTTGTTGTTGTTGTTGTTGTTGTTGTTGTTGTTGTTGTTGTTGTTGTTGTTGTTGTTGTTGTTGTTGTTGTTGTTGGTGTTATTATTGCTGTTCTTGTTATTGTTGTAGTTGTCTGTTTTGTTCTTGTTATTGTACTGATATGAATTTTCCTGGTGATGTTCCTTTCGTTGCTTTCGCCTACGTCTGGCTTTTTCCTTTTCTTTTTCCTGAAGG